AGACATTAATAAAGATTAAATAGACACCAACAAGTGAAGTTACCAAGAGCATCAATAATATTTTTTCCAATCGTTTCTTTCTCTCTCTCCCTCTCTCTATAATCCTCTTCACATTTCTCTCTCCAACCACGAACATAGCGGATCCATCAGCCGGGTGCTGCAGGCGCTGCTTCAGCATCGTATTCACCCTCGGCCTCGCAGCCCTCTCCATGTGGCTGAGCCTCCGCACCTCTAACCCCAAGTGCACCATCCACTCATTTTACCTTCCTACCCTCAACCGGACCCTAAACGACACCAAAAACACCACCCTCTTCGTCGCCCTCCGGCTCAAAAACACCAACAGTGAAAAGGCCGTCAACCTCACCTTCCGGCTGCTGCCCAACGCCACCAGCATGCCCGTAGCAACTTCTGCTGTGCCCCGGTTCTACCAGGGCCACAAGAAGACGGCCACCAAGAACATGGTCGTGGGCCCCTAAAAGGGGCTCAAGTGGACCGCGGTGTCCAGTGGGGTCCACCCCAATGGGAGTGTGAATTTCAGGGTGGATTTGGCCACTGTTGTGAGGTTCAAGATCATGTTTTGGAAGACCAAGAGGCACAGGCTGAATGTTGGTGCTAACGTGCTGGTCAATGACTCCGGTGGGAAAGTCAGTGAAAAGGATATCAAGCTCTCTGCTGCACCAAATCATCACCTGATTGGTTTCTTTTCTGGGCAGGTGGGGGTTTTGTCCAATTTCCTGGTTTTGATTTTGCTCAATTTTTTGTGATTTTTTTTTTTTTACTTCTTAAGATTTTTATAACAAAATTTATTTAGTAAGATAAGATTTTGTTCTCGTTGTATTTTTTTTATTTTGTTGATTTGCAATCAGTGCTATTTTTTAACCAACGAAGGAAGAAATTAGTCCCAACATTTTGTTCTTAAAATATTTTTTATTCAATTTTTTGTGATATAGTGTAGACAATGTAACTTAGTCAAATCACAATACCGCTCACCTAAGAACCGACATTTATAACAATGTCACATGTTGTCTTTTTTTTTTTTTTTTGGCACTGTCACATGTTTATTTGTCTAGACGCTCTGATTTGGCCAATTGGTCTAAACCAAGTCTACCACTGCACTATCGTTTCTCTTTAGGAGGCAGATTGTCTGCGCTCTTGTTACCGTACATTTCTCATCCCCTTTTATTTGTGCGATCACGATTAAATTACGTTAATATTTTATATTCTTATTATTTTTTGTCTTCTTATTTCTATTAAAAAATCAATATAAAATGTTGACGTGGCTGAACTGTGACCGCACAAATAGGAGAAGATATGAAAGACACGGTAACATGAGGGTAAACAATCTACCTCCTTTACCATTTATTTTAAATCCTGGAGTTAAGGAGTGGTGTGTGTGTGAGAGTAGGAAAATAAAATAGTTGGAAATAAATAATAATGATGCCCATGAAGAAAAATTAAGTCTTGAGGGTTTTTTTTTTTTTTTTTAGGTGGTCCCGCAATAGAACGTAAGTGGTTGGATTTCAATTGGCTACCAATTCTGACGTTTTCGGAATCAGATTTCCAAGAGTCTGAATGGGGTTAGACGGAAATTTCCATAGATTTCTAATCATTTGTAATATTTCTCTAATAGATATGAAACTTACATATGTTGACAGTTTTTCTTTCTATTAGAGAGATGATACAAGCAACGATACAAAAATAAAAAATAAGTGTAACACTACCCTACTTAAAATGGTACTATGAAGATTAGGTTGGTCTTAAACCATGAATTTATGTGCTTGTTAGTAGACCTTGGAAAATCATATCCGATACATTAATAATTTAATATGATGCCAATATACTTGGAAAATGGTTTTGGGTTTTACCTTACAGGAGTTGAATTCGTAATGAGTTGACACGCTTTCGCACGATAGTGACATATGATATGTTTGGAGATTTGGTCATGTGGTGTGTTACACTTGGAAGTTTTTGTAGTCTCAGAAGATTTTTATTTTTATTTATACAAACTTGATATTATTTTGTTATTTTTCATATTTTGTTGATTAGTTGATACTTGGAGACAGAGAGAGAGAGAGTTCATATTTTGTTGATTAGTTGATACTTGGAGAGAGAGAGAGAGAGAGAGGGAGGGAGATATATATATATAGGAAGCCTTTAAGGGAAGGGATCTCCATTTTTAAAAAAAAATGAGGACACCATCTTGACCGTTAGATTTGGCTTTAATGAAATCATATGGTTGAGATTCTGTGACCTGTGATTTAATCTCAACCACATAATTTCTTTAAAGTCAAATCTAACAGTCAAGAGGGGTTCCCATTTTTTTTGAAAAATGGGGATCTTTTCCTTTAAAGAGCCTGATATAGGAAGCCTTTAAGGGAATGGATCCCCACAGAAATGGGTAAACATGACACGACACTTAAAACTTGCAAATGAGTTTGAGTTCATCTATTTTGACACGATAAGTTAATGGATCGGATTTGAATTTAGAATAATTTCTCATAACACGAATACAAATTGCAATGGATTTCTTATATCAAGCCTATGTGTATAATATTATCTGATATGTTATGTAAATGTACAACCTACATTCAAATTTCTTCTCATATTTAACAAAAATTGAGGTAACTATTCAAAGTCAATCTACATATCGCAATGCAACATGCTTAAATACTTTGTTACCATTTGTCTAGTTCACCTTGGAGGTGAGCTTCCAGTTAGTAGTTTTATCATATTTTAGTACTCTCCATTGCACCCTAACGAAATCAATTCGTTATGTGAACCCTGTTCTGCTACCTTTCCGTTCTGGATCACGACAATGGAGTTGACCTTCTGAATTGTAGAGAGATAAAAGCTTTAGGTCGATGCGGTCCACGACCCGGTCTTCTGGGCATTTTTTCGACCAATTTTTCTGCTGATTCCGGCAATTTAAGGCGACGCCACCACTTGGGTTCAACTCTTCTCTTCACGCCGAGCATAACCCACCCAAGTTTTGCCCCAATCGACCACTATAGAAGGCGGTACTAAGCCATGAACATCTCTCGTTTACAACGCCCGGTGATCTCATCGTTTATCCACGTGGAAAAATTTGACAAGCACGTCAGCAAAAATATGAGATCTGTAGTTGGCACACCATTAGTTAACAGTCAAATTGACGGTTTAATTAACGAATGCATGAAATTACAACTACAATAAGAGTTTGTGTCAGACCAATGGCGGATGCATTGAGGGGCAAGGGAGGTCAGTTGACCCCCTGAACTTCGATGAACATCCATAGATACCTTGGGTGCTGACCCTCTGAACTTCAGTGAATGTCCATGGATACCTTGGGTGTTGTCCTTTTGAATATTAGAGTTGGCTTCATACATGCCCTCCAACTATTTGATAAAATGTTTGAAAGAAGAGTGAATGAAATGGTGATCTCAGTGAATAACAAAGCATCATCATTCTTGGACAAATATAGTAATGAGATGCAATGATATCAAACATTGTTAGTGTGTTCAAGATAAGTGTGTTTCTTTGTTAAGCATTCATATGGGAGTAATCTTGGAACATGTTAGTTACCCTCGCAAATGAAGCATTAACAGGTTTGCAGTATGTCTTTCCAAATGACTTGCCTACCAAGACTTGATGAAATGGCGATATGCATGCTATTTCTGGTAAGAAAAATTTCCTACCAATGCGCTCTATTCTTATTGACCCCCCTAGCATTATTTCCTGGATCCACCACTGTGTCAGACATTGAGGTTGCAATTGCACCAAAACCTGAGGGTGCAAAATGTAAGGGTCTATTTGGTATCCTATTAAAAAAAAATCATCATTTCTCAAAAACATCTCTTGAATTTTTTTTTTTTTTTTTTTGAAGACTCAAAAACTGCTTGGTATGAGATTTAAAAATTTTAAATCTTAAAACTTAAACTAGACAAATAAATCAAAGACAGAAAAAGAAGAAAGAGGATCAAGGGAGATTGAGAGGAGAGAGAAAGAAGGAAGGAGAGATAAAATGAAGAGAATGGATTAGAGGAGAGAGAAGCACAGAGAAAGAAGAAAAGAGAGATAGATTTGGAGTAAAATTGAATGAGAGAAAAGAAAAGAGTGAGTTTTAAGTTTAAAAATTCTAAAAACTCATTTTTTGTGTTTTTAAAGAATATGCTTTTTTTTTTTTTAAGTTAATCTTGAATTCATTTTTTTTTAAATAGTCCTATGATAGATATTGTAATGTATTCATTTTTGTATCAGTCTATAGACGAGTAAGATGGAGAGAAACAAATATGTATCACACGGTTTCAAGAGGCACATTATGCCCTACTTTCTGAGCAATCAAGTTGCGCATGGACTTGAATTCTTGAGTCGTTGAAGGTAAAAACTTGGCAATTTCCTTGGAGTTGTATGTAAGGTCATTTTACTTTATTATGAAAAAGGAGTGGTCTTATTCTACCAAATTTCTTGGAACCCTCCTTCAATCCTATTTTTAAATCGCTCAAAACACCCAACAACTTTTTAAATATTTTATATGAATTTTATTGAGTGATAAAAAAAAATTTTTTTTTTTTTAACAAACGATATTATCTATATTATATGAGAGAGGGTCGGCTTAACTTCACAATAGACTAGCAATAATGAGATTCAAATTTGCCTTTGGCAAGAATCGGACCTAAGACCTCTCACTTACAAATGAAAAGGAATACTACAAAACCATAATACTAAGTAACTTATTGAGCGATAATTAAATCTTAGATAACTTAAAGTAAATGTTTGGTACTATACTTGAATCAAGCTTTTTTTTGAACTCAAAAACACTTTTTAAAATTTTAAACTTTAAAAACTTGTTTGATAAGATTTGCATTAGTCTCTTGAGGTTAACACAAAAGCATGTACGCTCGAGGAAGCAACATACAGCATATTGTCGAGTATATACCCGTTACAAACTTACAAGAATATAAATATGGACCAAGTGACTTTACTAAAGATTAAATTACCAAAGACTTTAATAAAGATTATATAAAGACCACAGACTTAATAAAGATTAAACAAACACCAAGTGAAGTGACCAAGACCCAGAGTATCAATAATATTTTTTCCAATAGTTTCTCTCTCTAAACCCTGTTCACATTTCTCTCTCTTACCACAAACATGGCGGGTCAGTCAGAAGGGTGCTGCAGGTGCTGCTTCAGCTTCATATTCTCGCTCGGCCTCACAGCCCTCTTCATGTGGCTGAGCCTCCGCACCACCAACCCCAAGTGCACCATCCGCTCATTTTACCTTCCTGCCCTCAACCGGACCCTAAACGACACCAAAAACAACACCCTCTTCGTCACCCTCCGCCTCAAGAACACCAACAATGACAAGGGAGTTTTCTACGACGCCGTCAACCTCACCTTCCGGCTTCAGCCCAACGCCACCGCCAAGCCCGTAGCAACTTCTGCTGTGCCCCGGTTCTACCAAGGCCACCAGAAGACGGCCACCAAGAACGTGGTCGTGGGCCCCCAAGAGGGGCTCAACTGGACCGCGGTGTCCAGTGGGGTCCAACCCAATGGGAGTGTGAATTTCAGGGTGGATTTGGCCACTGCTGTGAGGTTCAAGATCATGTTTTGGAAGACCAAGAGGCACAGGCTGAATGTTGGGGCTGACGTGCAGGTCAATGACTCCGGTGGGAAAGTCAACAAGAAGGATATCAAGCTCTCTGCCGCACCAGATCATCACCTGATTGGCTTCTTTTCTGGGCAGGTCGGGATTTTGTCCAATTTCTTGGTTTTGATTTTGCTCAATTTTTTGTGATTTATTTTTTATTTCGTTGATTTGCATTCAGTGCTATTTTTTGGAAAGCTCCGGATCCCTTCTACTAAATTCTCCCAATCAATCAATTCGAATTCTTGAAATTTAAACTAAAAGTTAAAGTTATTATAAATTTTAAAAGAATTTCTGTTTGTAATCGTTCGATCAAATTTTAAGGACCGGATTGATTAATTAAGAGGATTTGATGGAAAAGATCCGGAAATGATCCATTTTCCTATTTTTTCACTTAGGATGAAGAAATTAGTCCCAATTTTTTGTACCAAAAATATATTCTATTTAATTTTTTGTGATAGACGGTAGACAATGCAATATTAGTCAAATCACAATCCTGCTCACCTAAGGATCGAGATTTATAACACCGTCATGTTGTTTATTTTTCCAAACGCACTGATTTGACCCAATTGCACTCTTGAGTTTGTTTCTCTTTCTTTCTATACCATTTATTATAAATCCTCCCTGGAGTTAATGATTCACTGAGGATCCTCTCCTGATCTAAGGATGAGGATCCTCATGATCAATGAATATGGACTGTTAGATGAAAATTCAACAGTTATAATTATTATAATTTTAAAGGGATCTTCCTGTTTGTAACCATTAGATTTTCATCCAACGGTCCACACTTCTTAGTCATGAGGATCATCATCCTTAGATCAGGAGAGGATCGTGATCCTTAATGAGTGGTGTGTGGGTGGGTTGGAAAATAAATGGGTTGGAAAAAAATAATAACGATGCCAAGGAAGAAAAGTAAAGCCTTGAAAAATTCTCGGTCTTTTCTTTGATAAGTATGCAAAAATGGGTAAAACATGATAGTGACATGATATGTTTGGAGATTCGGTTATGCTTGAAGTTGTTGTAGTTTTAGAAGACTTCTACTTTTATTTATACAAAACTTGATATTAGTTTGTTAATTAGTTGATACTTGATGAGAGAGAAAGGCATGATGCTTTAAATTTGCAAATGAGTTTGAGTTCGTGTATTTGGACGCGATAAATTAATATGTCATGTTTGAGTTAGAATAACTTCTCATGACACGGATACAAATGGTAATGGAGTTTCTTATATCAAGCCTATGTATAATATAAATTAATCTCCCTCTGCCAAGTAAAAGTACAAGCTGCATATAAATTCCTTGTCATATTTAACAAAAAATTGAGGTAACTATTCAAAGCCAATCTACATATTACAATGCAACATCCTTAAATACTTGGTCACCATTTCTCTGGTTCAGCTAGGAGGTAAGCTACCAGCTTGTAGTTTTATTAGATTGTAGTACGCTCCGTTGCGCCCCAACGAAATCAATTCGTTATGTGAGCCTTGTTCCGCTACCTTCCCGTTCTGGATCACGGCAATGGAGTTGGCCTTCTGTATCGTAGATAGCCGGTGAGCAATGACGATACATGTTCTGCTAGCCATCATCTTTTCAAGCGCTTCTTGAACTGCCTTTTCCGACACGCTGTCAAGCGCGCTGGTAGCTTCATCTAGTAGGAGGATTGACGGGTTCTTTAGTATCGCCCGAGCTATTGCAATCCTTTGTTTCTGACCACCTGATAACTGAACTCCTCTTTCTCCACAGTATGTATCATAACCATCATCCATTCCACTACAAAATATACGAAAAGTGAGAAATCTTAACATATTATGAAACTGCAAATCGACATAATCTTTTTCGTGTATTATTGTCAAATGTAATCTCTTACCTGATGAATTCATGAGCGTTGGCAAGACTTGCAGCCCTCTTTATCTCAGATTCTTTCGCTTTCTGTTTTCCGTAGGCAATATTTTCGCGGACTGTTCCAGCAAATAGAGTAGGCTCCTGACTGACTAATGCAATGTGTGACCTCAACAGTCTCAAGTTATAGTTCTTGACATCCTGCTCATCTATGCATATTGTTCCCTTCATTGGGTCGTAAAACCTCTCAATGAGTCCGATAATGGTGGATTTTCCAGAACCGCTTCCCCCAACCAGCGCCACTGTCTTGCCTGCATCGATTCTGAGGCTCAATCCCTTAAGGATCATCTGCTCAGGTCTTGTTGGATATGAAAAGAAAACATTTCTGAACTCGACGCGACCCTTGATCCTTCTCTTGATTTCAAGTCCCCATTGGTCATCCGGATCAATCTCACTTTTCCTGTCTAACATTGCGAAAACTGATTGAATGGCACTGTTTCCTTTAGATATATCAGAAGTCATGCTTCCGGCATCTGCAATGATATAAGCGGTGAATAGCAGTATCAAAAATGCCTGGAAGAGTTCCTTTGGAGTTATCTTCCCGTCCACCAGTAGCCTTCCACCGTACCAGTATGCTAAAGCTGTAGCGGCAGTGTTGAAGAATTGGGAGCTAAACAAACCAGCACCTGAAACATACGACTGTTTAATACTATCCTTCTTTGGACCTTTCAAGGTAGCACCAAACAGCCCCAAGATCTTTTTTTGAGAAGAAAAAGCGGTTATAGTTCTGTGGTTGTTGACAGCTTCGCTCGCCAATTGGCTTCCTTGCTTTTGAGCTTTTCGTGCTTTCTCACCACTGCTCTTCATTAGGATGCTTCTAGCATAAAAACTCCCGATGACTAGTGGCTGCACTGCTATCATCACAAGGGCTAGCCTCCATGTCAACACAAGTCCTACTGTGTAAGCAAAGCAAGCCCCGAAAACTGCTTGGACCAGCAATGACATCCGGTCCCCAACAAGAGATTTAACCATGTTTGCTTCGGTGGCTAACCTTGCACAAATAGCTGCACTTGTGTTCTCATCTTGATCAAACCACCCGATCTCAAAGGTCAGCAGCTTTTCAAGCACTTTCTCTCTTACCCTTGTTGTCAACTTTTCTCCCATGACTGCAAAATTGTAGTGTTGGAGGAGATTGGTGAAGAAGTTGAAAACGCCAATGCCTAAGAAAACGAGGGACAAGACTCTGGATTGTCTCTTAATTTCAGATTTGTCCTGGAGGAAGTAGACTGATATAAGCAATCCTACACAATAGGCGTTTATAGGTTGTACTGCCCCGGATCCTATTGCACCCAAGCATCCAAGTAAGGCTTGTCCAGATTCTGGTGCATTCATTTTTAGCAGACGCCATTGGGAAGGAGGATGATTCGGGTGCTTGAAGCCTTCATCGTCACTTTCATCTTCTGGATCATATTGGACAGAGAAAGAGTAGGGTGTTCCCATGGACATAGACATCGGTGTGGTGTTGAAGGCTGGAGAAGGAGTAACTGATCTGAAACTAATGGGGCTTGGCGTAACACTCATCCTATGGCGAGGCTTTTCATATATTTGAGAACTGAAATCCTCATAATCCTCATTTTTGGCTGCCATATGCTGCATTTGTACCATCTTGAAGTATTCGCCTCCTTGTTCCCCTTTCTTTTGCATTAGTTGATTGTGTGAGCCTGATTCTACTACTTTCCCGGCTTGAAGAACAAAAATCAAGTCTGCTGTTCGGATTGTAGAAAGGCGATGGGCAATGATGATTGTTGTCCTCCCTTTTGATGCCTGATCAATTGCCTCCTGCACTACTCTTTCTGATTGCACATCCAGTGCGCTAGTTGCCTCATCAAGAAGCAGAATTTTCGGATCCCTCAGCAGAGCTCTCGCTATGGCAATCCGCTGCTTTTGCCCACCAGACAGTTGGAATCCGAATTGGCCAGCCTGGAAAAATACAAATGATGTTATAATCAGTAACATGTGACGTGATCAGTTTCTGAGAAGTTCATTTCAGATCAATTACATGCTTAAATTTTTTTTTTTTTTTTTATCACCATAACATTATACAAATCTAGTTCAATCGTTGAGTTTAATAAGAAAACTAAGCATGGAAATCAAAAGTTGATTTCCGTGTGGAAGATATTATACTTGAGTTTCATATCCATCTGGTAACTTGACGATGAAGTCATGTGCATTTGCAGCTTTGGCCGCAGTTATTACTTCGTCCATTGAGGCCCCTTCCTTTCCGAAAAGTATGTTCTCTTTTAAGGAAGTTGCGAACAGAACAGGTTCCTGATTAACTAGACCGATCTGGGATCTCAACCATTTCGCCTGAAGTCTACGAATTTTGTGTCCATCCAACAGAATTTCTCCTTCAATGGGGTCATAAAATCTTTCGAGCAATGCAATGGTGGTTGACTTGCCCGAACCACTGCCCCCAACTAGACCTACACTCTTACCAGCCGGAATCTTAAGACTCAAGCCTTGTAAGACTGGGGTATCAGGTCTCGATGGGTAACTGAAGTAAATGTCTTGGAATTCTATTTCTCCTTTGACATGTGACAAAGCCTTCCCTTTTCTGTCTTGAGTGTCGATACTAGGAACTCGATCAATCATTTCAAGGATTCGAGTTGTAGCTGCTAATGCCTCGGTGATGCCAGTTAAGTTTGGGAGTGCACTTAAAATACTCCTGCAATAACAACCTTAGATTATAAGTTCAAGATCGAAAGTGAACTATTGAAATGAAATGCAGTGGTAAGTTAACTCACAAGCCTCCCATGAGGACATTGAAACCGGCTACAAAAACATGACCGCCATCTTCGCCTTTCTGAGTAACCAAATAAGTCCCGACCCAAGCTTGAAAACCCCAACCGACATAGATCATTCCCATGCTTCCCATCAGCACTCCCTTTACCAAACCTACCTTTATTCCAAGTTCAGTAACTGTCTGAAGTGCAGTGCTGAACCTATTCAGCGTTTGGTTCTCTCCAACGTATGAGTACACGGTTCTTACTGAAGAAATTGCTTGTTCAGCAATTCCCCCAGCAACTCCATAAGCTGCAATTCCCTTCATTACCAGCCCCATCAGGATCTTTCCGAATACAAGTCCCGGAGCTATGAACATGATTGAAAGCGGCATAGCTGCCAACGTCAGCCTCCATGACAGCTTAAAGGCGAATATATGGCAGAAGAAGAAAGTTGACATGTACGTCAGGCAGTCAGGTATCTGCATTAAAGAAAGCAGCAAACATATACTTGATCGCCAAATTCATGCGCATGTTCTTCAAATCGGTGCGTAAACTCTCAAGAATATGTTGGATTTATAATGAAAAGAACTCTTACCTTCTCACACAAGGCAACTTGGACCGCGGTGGCATCGGAGGAGATGATCGAGATAACTTGGAATGTTGTTGAAGAACCAGCAGTCTGGGTGTCAAAGAAGGAAACTTCTTGTCTAAGAACAGATTTCATATATTCCATTCTCATTTTAGAAGTCTGCCTCTCCGCCGTTCGTGTCCAA